GCGGGAATGTGCCCAGCCTGGTTCCATTGTAAAAGGTTCGTGGAAAAATGTCAAAAGCTTAAGAGCAGAATAGTTTATAGAAGAAACTCCTGGATAAGATGTTTTTAAATATATTCGCCTGCACATATGTTACCTGTCTCTTACCTACAGCGTGTCCCAATAAACATGGGAATTCAGTGACGAATTCGATATCGTCTTTGTTATACAATAGCATTGTAATACCTGATTTCAAATGCCATATATTATTATGTCTGCTACAGTTTATTTCATGAAAAGGGTAAATGGCTGTAAAGATGTGTCTCAGTAGGTATCACTATACTCAATCAAAGAATTATTATTATTATGAATTCCCATGTTTATTGGGACACCCTGTATGTTAATATTACACAAAAGATTGAAATCTTCTATGTTTTCAATCATGACCTATTGAGATGAACAAAAATGTTTTGAATTTCTAACATGTGACTGTAATAAAATCTACTACTAGAGAAGCTAGGATGTCGTAGTTGTAATTTCGCATAAAGAATTTGAGTCTTTGCCACAAGCTTTGATTTTCTAATCCCTATTCCTTTACGACCCAATATTGTAGACCTTTGATATTTCAAACTATAAATTTATGTAGATCAAATAATTTAAGTTTGAAATATCAAAAGTTTACACATTCAGGTTGCAAAGATATTAGGATTTTAAAATTTGGGTTTGTGGCTAGGACTCAATTCCTTTTACCTTCTCTTTACGGTGTATTGTTGTAGTTTTTCTATCTAATGATGTGTTGAATTCTAAACATTTTCTTCTTTCTTTCTGCTGTTTAAATCCGAAAATCATTTTATTAATTGAAACCAAAATTGAAATAATCAGTTTTCAGATGAAAAACAATGATTTCTTTGTCATTTTTAAGGCTCCTCTATGACTCGGATAAGAAGAGCTTAAAAAACTCTAAAAATAGCAGCAAAAACATGTTCTTGTATCATGTCCTTCTTCTAATAACAAATCTGTATGTTTTGTTAAAATTACATTTACTGGATATTCTACTTTAACAGTATAAAACATCCAGATCTAAGAACATATGTGCTTTTTACTCCGGAAAAGAAATGGTAAAACACTTTTTAGAAAAAACCGCGGGTTGCCATGCAAATGAAGTTTTAGAAATAAATCGATTAAAGGGACTGTTTAGAAATAAATCGATTAAAGGGACTGTTTAGAAATAAATCGATTAAAGGGACTGTTAGAAATAAATCGATTAAAGGGACTGTTAAGAAATAAATCGATTAAAGGGACTGTTAGAAATAAATGGATTAAAGGGACTGTTAAGAAATAAATCGATTAAAGGGACTGTTTAGAAATAAATCGATTAAAGGGACTGTTTAGAAATAAATCGATTAAAGGGACTGTCAGAAATAAATTGATTAAAGGGACTGTTTAGAAATAAATGGATTAAAGGGACTGTTTAGAAATAAATGGATTAAAGGGACTGTTTAGAAATAAATCGATTAAAGGGACTGTTTAGAAATATGTCGATTAAAGGGACTGTTTAGAAATAAATCGATTAAAGGGACTATTTAGAAATATGTCGATTAAAGGGACTGTTTAGAAATAAGTCGATTAAAGGGACTGCAGACATAATTTCAAATGACCCCTTATTTTATGCATTATCATTTACATCTTTATATGATCGATAATGTTGAAGATATTTGTCGCTTGGAAGAATTTTTGATTATAAAATTAAGAGAATTGAATAAAATTAATCTTAATTAAAATTAATCAAATGCACTCCGGCTACCCGTGAAAGGAAAAGATGAGATCTTTTAAAAACGTTGCTCTAGAGTTAGCATTATTTATTATCATTGAAATATTCCAAAATGTTAAAAAAAAAAAGGTTCCTTAGGAATATAAATTAAGAAATATATAAATTTGATCAAAAGAGTGATCAAACAAATGCTCTCAAAAAACCACAAAATATTGCAGTATGATCAAAACTGATTTTTGCTTATCAAAAAATAGTATAAAATGATTTGAGATGGTCTGTTAGCCTATCTTCAGTCATTTTAAAGAATATATGAAGAACTCTTGTCAATATTTTGATGAACCGGGTGATCTGAGATTGATTTTGTGATCCTGCAAATTCTATGGATTTGCTGGCAGCTGGGATATTAAGAAAAGAGGCACATTTTTCATCAGAATGCATTATGGAATGTTTCCTTTTCTTCTTTAGTCCAGTTACAATTATTTTTAACAATTTTTTTAAAGATAGCTTATGGCAGAAGGCAAAGAAGTAAAAAGACAGGTTTTTTTCCGTCCACACTTTAAATATCTAATCTAATCTAATCTAATAATTTATTTTTCCGTTGAAAATATAACAGGTTGTGCATGAAAATTACATATTTATTAGTTTATTAATTATCAACGGAAGGAGAGCAGCCATAGCAGAGCTGTTTTCAGGTTGGTCTCCTGGCAGTTTACTGTGGTATCAATTAGAACTGAATTGATGTGATACGTCGTGGGACTGGGTTTGGAGAAGACGGAGGAACAGGGTCAGATTTGCTCAATTAACATGTTATAAATTTGGTTCTTGATTTGAGACAATAGGCAGAAAACAGAAACAGAGGCGCCAGGAACTATTGCATTCCTAATTTTTTTGCGTTGCAAAAAAAATTAGCAAAAGTTTAAGTTCCACCCATTAACAATACNGACATTCAGATTTAAACACAGGACACGTGCGAGAGGTTTTTAAATTAATCGGGATCTGGCCAGTACTAAAAGATAGATTAAAGATATGAGACAGAGGTTCAGAAATCTCAGTTGATACGGCTTTTATCAAAACAGTACTTATACAATCAATATCCAGAGTATTTTTACGATTGAGTGACGAGATTATTTCTGAGACCTCTAATGGATTTGTTGGAAAAAACTCAAAATTAGAATCTAAATCCTCTAAATAATCTTCTGGTTTAGCAGACGTATCCGGTATTTGAGATCTTATTTCATCTGCAATTTCGGAAAAAAAAGTGTTAAATGTATCAGCAATTTTAGATGGCACAGTTATTGACAAACCTTTAGATTTAATCATAGAAATCTTGCTTGATTTAGTTGATCTTTTATCAATAGCTTCATAAAGAAATCCACACATTTTTTTAGGACAGCTTTTACTTGATTCAAGTTTCTTTTCATAATACAATTTTTTTGCTTCTCTAAGAAGCTTGTTATATAAGTTTCTATAATTCTTGTAAATCTCAAATTTCAAGGGGTTTCTAGATGACAAGTAGTCTTGATAAAGAGACAGTTTAGTGCGCCGAGAGGTTAACAATCCCTTAGAAAAAAAATCTTGAATTTTGTGAAAGTTTTTATTAAATTTAGATTTTTTGACAGGAAAATGTAGACCAGCTGTTCCAAAATAAATCAAAGCTTGCCAAAGGATCAGGACAAGATAAAACATCATCCCAAGAAAGATTAGATAAGTTTTCACGAAATAAATTAATATTTAATTCTGAAAAATCTCTAAATTCAGTAAATTTTTGCTCGCTTTTTACCTTCTTCTTAAAATTCAATGTGGTAAAACATGGAAGATGGTCAGATAAATCATTTAATAAGACACCAGATTCAGGAGTATTTAAGTTAATATTGCAGAGAATCTGATCAATTAGAGTATTAGAGTGAGAAGTAAATCTTGTTGCTTTAGTTATCAAATTCATAAAACCGTTAGAGATGCAAAGATCCAGATAATTTGAACATTCAGGAGATTTTTCAACTTGGAGCAAATCAAAATATAATAAAGTTGTAATCTCCCACAAAGTATGAGACTTCAGAGACGACTGTACAGAATCTATTTTGTCTTTTTTCTTATATTTACATTTCCCTGGAACTAGAAACTTGTTTCTTTCTTTGCAAAATCATTCAAATCAGCCATTAGATAACTATATCTAAGGCAGTATACTTAATTTCGAGTCGTCTTTACAGTCTCATTCTTTGTGGGTAACCCTGAATAATAATACTGCCAGATAATATTTTATATAATTCTTAATTTGGTCTCCAACAACTTAAAAATTATGGAAGATGATATTTAAATCTTTTCATCATCTATCATGTTTCGTGGGACACCCTGTAGTTTAAAGTTTAGACACTCGTTTTTTTGTTATGATTATATTATATTATCTACACATTGATCATTTTCTAATAGGTTTTAAGCAGCTTGTACGATTGTCTTTATTCTTTTTCTTATAAAATGAAAAGCCATGTTTTACAAGTCCTAAATAATTCATTAAAGGGACAGACCGGCTATGTAAGGTAGTTAAACTGAGTATGCAGTATTGTGGAAAAATTCTTAAGGATTCATTTGAGACATACAAAACTTTTCCACGATGTATAATAACTGAGTTTGAGTACATAGCCGACGTTCAAAAAGGTACGTTTTCAGAATTGTTTTTTTTAATTATTAAATAACGACGACGAAAACTATAGTAAAAATTCTATAGTAAACTAATCAGCTGATTAGGAACATATTTCTCAAAAGAAATCAATCCTAGAATCAATTATTTAGTTTTCATCATTAAATTGTATTCTTTTTTATTTTCTGAATTTATTTAGAGATTTCTTCAAATTCTTCAATTGTCGTCTTTTTATTATAATTCCAGGAAATCTGCAAAAAATCTTTGTGAATAATGAAGAAAAAAATAATAATTGATAAGATTACTTATTTTCGTTGATGGATCAAATTTTATTTTCTCAACCTGTTCCTAAACAAGTAATTAGTTTACTGAAGAATTTTGTTTACATTTTGTCGTCGTTATTTAATAATTTAAAAAAACACAATTCTGAAAACGTATCCACCCAAAAGTGGATTTTGAACGTCAACATTGCGCTCAAACTCTGGATTTACAGATCTTTAAGAAGTTTTATTATCTCAAATGAATCCCAAAGAATTTGTCCACAACACTGCATACTCATTTCAACTACCTTACATAGCCGGTCTGTCCCTTTGATGTAATAAAAATAACAATTATAACCAAGGAAATATTTCATCTTATATTCAGATTGTATAATAGTTTGTACTTATCACATTAAAATTATACAGTTTGTTAACAGTTTAATCCACTAGTCAATTTTTTAGAGAAATGGTACTGTTGTAAATCCTTTCTCCCGTTTAGTATCCAGCCAATGGATCTTCTAAATCTTCCATGATGAAATCTACATCCACTGTTTCTATTTTTACAGAAGGTTTAATCACATCATTTTCTATTTCTTCATCATCCATGTGTTCCAACCCTTCACTATTGGTAGGGTTATCTAAAGGGTTGAGAGTAGCTTTTTCCTCTGTTATATGTCCAAACTCGTCAAAATTTAATCTTTCAGAACTAGTTTCAATTTTGACCAAAGGTTCGAACTCATTATTTGCTTGTGATATGTCTTCTAAAGGTTCTGAGGCATTGTTCCTGATATTTTCGCTTTGTTTGTGTGTTTTTAGCGTTGAAAGTTCAGACGGTACATGTTGGCGCTGAGTACAGGGATTCTGTAAAAGTTGGGGAGGCATTGGCACCACTGTATAGAAGATTTTATGATCTAGGATCTCTGAACTTCCTAAAACATGTATAAACAGTTGTTACAGTGAGAACCAGAAAACTGTGGAATAGGAAGACGACGTTAAAGCAATATTTAGGGATATTTGATGATTTTAAAAGCCAACAATAATTATACTAACTGATTAAATCAGTTATTAAGTCGAAAGGGTCGAGTTACAATGCAGTATTGCTGTGTTTGGACTATTTGAAGTCATAATATGAGGCTAAAAGTCGTCTTTCTATTCCATAGTTTTCTGGTTCTCACAGTGTTAAAATTAAAAGGAGTGCTTGGCAATTTAAAAAAGGGGATTAG